GTAAATAAGGTGTGAGGATAGACTTCAATGGGAAGCTCATATTTAAATAAAGACTAGAAGGTGAGGGAGTTAGTCACTCAGATATATGGGGGAAAAGCATTATAGGAAGAGGGAACAGTCTCCGCGGGAATGGGAGTCAGAGTGGGAGCCCGGCTGGGCACCACAGGCCAAGGACCGCAAGCACCTGCTGCAGGAGCGGCCGCGCACCTACAACCTGGACGCCTGCCAGGGAGACTTCGCCAGCAGCCTGCCGCCGCCCCACATTCACCCCGTCACGGGGACACCCACCACCACCCTGGGGTCTACAACATCCACAGTCGAAATACCACCAGGTATCCTGCCAATTTCATTGTTGTCGTTGGAGCCTGCCCGGTCTGCAGAGTCAGGTTTCGGAGGACATCTTCACCTCCCTGGGCGTCTTGACCATCATCTTGTTCCAATTTGGGTTCATCTGCTGTTTTGCCTTGAGGAAGTGAAGATGCCGCGACTGTGGAGCAAACTTTACTTAAAGGGAACAACACACCTGGCTTTCCTCCTTTCCTCAATGATACACTGAGAAATGTATCACTTTGTTGATCACTTGTGTAGACAAGCAGGGGGAGTGGGAGAGAGAGAAGCAGGCTTTCCACTGAGCAGGGAGCCCGACGCAGGGCTCGATCCCAGGACCCCGGGATCACGAGCCCAGCTGAAAGCTGATGCCCAACGACTGAGCCACCCCCATCCTGCTTTTTCTAATGTGAATGTCGTGTACAATAGCCTTATCTGATTAAGCTTCCAGGACTGTTGTGTAAAGTGAGGTGGGATAGTTTTGGCCTGTGTGAGCTGAGGTTTCCTGGGCACAGGGGTCGCAGAGCATGGGAGAGGCCTCAGCGCTGCTCTTAGGGTCAATGACAACCCAGTAAAGCACTGCTTTTATTTCTTTGCAGTCTTCAATTTGAGAAAGGTGAGAAATAATGTTTTATTTTTTTAATTTAATTTTATTTTGTTGTTAGTCACCGTACATCATTAGTTTTTGATGTAGTGTTTCATGATTCATTGTTTGCATAGAACACCCAGTGCTCCGTGCAGTACATGCCCTCTTGAATACCCAACACCAGGCTCACCCATCCACCCACCCCCCTCCCCTCTAGAACCCTCAGTTTGTTTCTCAGAGTCCATAGTCTCTCATGGTTCATCTCTCCCTCCAATTCCCCGCCCCTTCATTTTTCCCTTCCTTCTCCTAATGTCCTCCATGCTGTTCCTTATGTTCCACAGATAAGTGAAACGATATAATTGACTTTCTCTGCTTGACTTATTTCACTCAGCATAATCTCCTCCAGTCCCATCCATGTTGATGCAAATGGTGGGTATTCATCCTTTCTGATGGCTGAGTAATATTCCATTGTATATATGGACCACATCTTTATCCATTCATCTGTTGAAGGGCATCTTAGCTCCTTCCACAGTTTGGCTATTGCGGACATTGCTGCTATGAACATTGGGGTGCATATGGCCCTTCTTTTCACTACATCTGTGTCTTTGGGGTAAATACCCAGGAGTGCAATTGCTGGGTCATGGGGTAGCTCTGTTTTTAATTTTTTGAGGCACCTCCACACTGTTTACAGTGGCACCTGGGTGGCTCAGTGGGTTAAGCGTCTGCGTTCAGCTCAGGTCATGATCCCAGGGTCCTGGGACTGAGCCCCCTGTGGGGCTCCCTGCTCAGCATGGAGTCTGCTTCTCCCTCTCCCTCTCCCCATTTGTGCTCTCTCTCAAATAAATAAAATCTTAAAAAATAAGATTCACACCACTGTAAGAAAAAAAAAAACCTGGGGGAAAGACTGTTAGTTGCCAACTCAATACTCAGTCTCCCCTTCTTATTATATAGAATTCCAATTGTACTTGGCAATCTGCCCAGCGAAGACATTTCCTGGCCACTCTGAACCCAGGCATGATCCTGCAACAAAGTTCTGGCCAAAGACATCTAAGCTGACATTTTTGTTTGGAGCGTCTAAGGTTCTTCTAAGAACCTTCTAAGGTTCTTTAAAAAGAGCTCACTTATTTAGTGTGTGCTCTTTCACCAACCCTTCTTCCTGCAGGGTAACAAAGAAAATAGGCTGGAGCTGCAGCAGCCGTCTCAAGAATGAAAACCACACACTAAGGAGAGCTGAAAGAAGCACCTAGGACGTGGATCAAATTGAGCCTGTCCTACCAGCCGTGACCAGCTCCTAGTCCCTGCTTTGTGTCAAGTTGATAGGGATAGATGAAAAGGTAACAGTTCCTTTTCCCAGAAGGCTAACCATAGAAGCAGCTTTTATTGCATACTTGGTATGTATCAGAAACCATCCTTAGTGCTTTACATGCACTAGAAAAAAAACATGTACATTAAGTATTATTCCATTCATACAAGGGAGGATACATGTTTAGCAAGGTTAGCTACCCATGGTAATCCAAGGCTTCAAGCTGGGTCCTCTATCATTAGTATGATTAATTACAATTAGCATTAATATAAATGGGATAACATCATCACAGATCCTTCTATTTATTAATGGATACTAATCTCAAAGCGATCATACTGCATGATAAAGATAAAAATGGAGATTAGAATTAAGGTTTTGTTTCCTGATGGCCACATTTTCAAATACTTCTTAAGGACTCTGTTCTATGGACTTTTGGTTAGTCTTTGAAATCTACCAATAATTTAACAGCTCTTTCACTAAATGCTAAGTATAGCAGACATTTTCACAGGACTCTGTCCAGCAACCCGTACTCTGGGATCTTGCCCCTTTGTCCTTCCCCATCTCCACCCCTGGTTACAATGCAGACTTTTTAAGTGAAGGGCAAATACTTAAATTCAGCTTTTATTTTTAAAATTCTTCAAGTATCTTAAGCATTCAACCTACTTTTACTTTACCCAATCTTGCCATGTTAACATAGCCCAAACAGAACATTTTCTCATGGAAAACGTTTTATAAAAAATATTACCAGTGGTTGCTTTTTAGCTCCAAATCACCAAATTGGACCAAATTCCAGCCCAACCTAAGAACTTTCTCAGCATTTATAAATGTCTGATATTTATTCCACTCCCTTCCAAAGCAGTGTTCTCTGCTATTAATAATAAGATTCTGTCAGAAGTCAGACAGACAGATGAATGGATAAAGAAGATGTGGTATAGGGCACCTGGGTGGCTCACTTGGTTAAGCGACTGCCTTCAGCTCAGGTCATGATCCTGGAGTCCCGGGATCGAGTCCCACCATCGGGCTTCCTGCTCAGCAGGGAGTCTGCTTCTCCCTCTGACCCTCTTCCCTCTCGTGCCTTCTCTCATTCTCTAATAAAATCTTTAAAAAAAAATGTGGTATGTGTGTGTGTGTGCATACACACACACACACACACACAATGGATTATGCAGCCATCAAAAGGAATGAAATATTGCCATTTGCAACGATGTGGATGGAACTAGAGGGTATTATGCTGAGCGAAATAAGTCAATCAGAGAAAGACATGTATCATATGATCTCACTGATATGAGGAATTCTTAATCTCAGGAAACGAACTGAGGGTTGCTGGAGTGGTGGGGGGTGGGAGGGATGGGGTGGCTGGATGACAGACATTGGGGAGGGTATGTGCTATGGTGAGCGCTGTGAATTGTGTAAGACTGTTGAATCACAGACCTATACCTCTGAAACAAATAATACATTATATGTTAAAAAAAAATAAGATAGTAGGAAGGGAAAAATGGAAGTGGGGGGAACTGGAGTGGGAGATGAACCATGAGAGACTATGGACTCTGAAAAACAAACCGAGGGTTGTAGAGGGGAGGGGGGTGGAGGGATAGGTTAGCCTGGTGATGGGTATTCAAGAGGGCACGTACTGAATGGAGCACTGGGTGTTACACGCAATTAATCATGGAACACTACATCAAAAACTAATGATGTAATGTATGGTGATTAACATAATAAAAAAATGTAAAAAAAAAAAGTCAAGCAGATTCCTGCATTTGGTGGCAGGTTACATAATGTGGCTACCAAGATCCTTTCCAGTCTTTGAGATTCAAGGCTGAGACATCTTTTATCAGGTACCATTTGAGATGGATTTATACTTTAAGCCTCAATGTTTCACCATGAAGATTTAGATTGGCTGTTTCACATTTGACTCAATTTTTCCAAATATACTTTTATCCAGAAATTGAAGTTTATTTATTTATTTTTTAGAGAGGGGCAGGGGTGCGGAGAGGAAGAATCTTAAGCAGACTCCACACCCACTGAAGAACCCAATACAGGGCTTGATCTCACAACCCCGAGAACATGACCTGAGCCGAAATCGAGAGTTGGACACAGAGCCAACACAGGTACTCAGGCACACCCACAAATTGAAGTTTATAAACCTTTACTTATCGATTTCCCCTAGATTGAATGCACCTAGACTCTAAACTTCATAGTGTTACAAATGTACACCTAGCAGAAAAGATGACAAAGCTTGATTCCTTAAGTTCCCCCAAAAGACAGCTTTTAGAAATGAACTAAGTATTTTAAGGGAAGTTACCCTTTATGTTATAAAGTAACAGAAGCCCGTTGTTAGTGTGAAAGAACAAGTCCTGAATTATTTTATAGCTTCTCTACTAAAGCCTAATTCTAAGCTGCAGAATACATCCAATATTTAAACATACACTAACATAGCTGAGAGAGAGAAAAAAGACATTTGAACCCCCAGGAGCCAAAAATGACCTGCTTTCCACTAACCCCAGGTTCTAGCATATCCCTGGATATAATACAGCAGGGATGGGAGGAATTCAAAGAAATATGCTTTCAAGTGTCACATTCATTTAAGGCTGAATACCATCCACTGTGTAAGTCTGAGCTGCTCTATTATATTTATTTATAAAAATAAAATTTCATTACTATCACAATGGTATTTTATACAACCCTAATGACAAAAGAACCATTTTTTTTTTGCTCCCTACCTAAGATTTACAAGGCTGATCAAAAATTGAAATTATTGGTATAAAGTGATAAAATAAGACAAAGCATGGTAAAGTCTGCTTTATTGGTGGCAGTTAGTATAAGTCAATAAATATTGATCCCCAAAGAAGAACTCATTTATTTATCTGGTCCATAGAGAGCAGAATGGAACTGAACCAACTGCCTGCTGAGATGATAAACTGAAGTCAATCCTGCTTCTTGGGAAATGAAGCCATAGCTAGCTGATATATGGCATATGCTGTTCCTGAAAAATAAAAAGAAACAAAAAAAAGAACTTCTAAGAAATTCTGAGATTTCTATGCATAAACCTAATATTCTAGCTAAAAGGTTGTAAAGAGAAAGAGGCAAGTCTGGCATTATTGCTACTTTTATGGGAACATAAAAAAGTATTTTGATAGGTGCTGGCAAAATTTAAAATAAATATATGTTAAACACATTTAATCTAGTTTTAGTATCAGTTAACTTCTATAGAAAGTGTTAGATACAGTACAATAATGTATTTGTCAACTTGAATAACATGTAAAAGAATTTTTAAGTAAGTTTAAGAACATATATAAAGGCTATTTCCATAGTAATCTAAGATTGCCTGAGAAATGCTAAGAATGATTCAAATACCAAAAAAGGGGTCAAGATATGCAAGCACTCCCTAAAGTGTATTATCAATATAAAACCAAGGAAGAGTGATACACTTAAATTATCAAGTTTAATGTAATAGCTAATAAGTGAAAAATTATTAAAACGACCTACCAGAACTTAGGATGTACTGTACCATGTACTGTCTAACTCAACAGAATAAAAAAAAATAAAATAAAAATAAAAAAATAAAACTACCAGAATACCTATGAAATAGTCACACTGATCAAAAAGAATTTAGGACTTTATCTTAAGAGAGCCCAAATGCCACTATCTAGTTGTTGTCTTCATCCAAAAATGCCCCTTCACTGTATTTAATCCAAGCCAAAGAAGGCACCTTGGCATGAGCAGGAAGACTTTGTAATTAGGGTTCAAATTTCAGCTTTTCCACACAGAGGCAATATTATCTTGAGTAATTAACACAATTTCTTCAACTTTAAAAGAAGGACACATTACAGACTTAATACAAGGGGTCCAAAAATCCCACATAAATGTGGCATTCTTATCAATAGGACAAGCACACAGTAATCACTCAAATATTGTTTCCCTGACTCCCCCAGAAAGCAATCATTCAAATTCTTCACTCTGCTCCAACCATACAGTTTGTGATATTCCACTGCTAATACTGTACAATGGACCTGCCCAATCCACAGAAAAGAACTTCAAAGCACTTTGGGTACTGTAATAAGTGCTGTTCTATACAGGTTGTTTCTGTCATAAACATGGATGTTGAGTGTAGTTGTAAAATGTTTTTTTATTATGTATCAAAGTAAAAATGTTCAAAAAGCCCGTTACAGTAGATGGGGCAGAGTAGATGGCCTGCAGGGCCACCATTAGCACACTCTGAAAGCTACCTCTATCATAAATACTCATCAAACATTATTGGTTTTTTTTTTGACATTAAAATGCTCTTATATAATATGTATCAATCATCCTGTTGAATCCTTACATGCAAAGCATTAAGATCTCAGATTCTGGAGACAGACTTCCTATGTTAAAATACTGGCACAGTAAAAGCAATGAAGTTGTTAGTTTTCCTTACTGTTACTTATCTATAAGTCAAGCACTCCAAGTATCTTACCACCAACTGTAAGGATCATAGTGGCTCTATACAGGAGGGCATCAGCTACTCCACCCTTCAGATGCACTGGAATTCCATTATCCTCCTAGATCAAAAAACAATAATAATTAATACATGTGTCATTTGTTTTCAACTAAGTTGAAAAGACTAATCCATTTATATAAAATTAAGTGCCTCCTTAAACCCCTGGAATTAAAATATTGTAAACATCAAAATTAAAAGACTACAATTTTCCTGATTCTGTCTCTACTTCCACTAAATTAAGATAAGAACTCCTAAAAGTCAATATTCTTTCTCTTAAATTTAGTGAGATCCAATAAAGATGTTCTTTCCAAGGAATATATAAATGTTAAAGTTGTGAAAATACACTAAGTTCATCAACTGAATTATTAAAAAGATCAGTACTCATCACACTTTAGATTTAATCATAAGATTTATTTTTTCCTTAAAAAAAGGGGGGGAAGGGGTTTGTTTATAACCTTCATTATATCCTTAACCCCTAGTCCAGCACCTGGCATACAGTAGATATTTAATACATCTGTTAAATATAAGTATTTTATTTTTACGTAGCATATAAATGGCCCCTGACTTAACAATGGTTCAACTTACGATTTCTCAACTTCACAATGGTGTGAAAGTAATACACATTCAGTAGAAACTGTACTTTAAATTCTGAATTTTTACCTTTTCCCAGGCTAGTGATATGCAGTACGATACTCTCTGATGATGCAGGACAGTGGCAGCCAGCCACAACTCCCAATCAGCCACACAATCATGAAGTTAAACAACCAATAGGCTTACAACCATTCTGTATCCATAAAACCATTCTCTTTTTCACTTTCAGTACAGTATTCAAGAAATTACATAAGATATTCAACACTTTATTATAAAATAGGCTTTGTGTTAGATGACTTTGCCCATCTGTAAGCTAATGTATGTGTTCTGAGCTTGTTTAAGGTAGGCTAAGCTATATTTAGTAGGTTAACTATATTAAATGAATCTTCAATTTAAAATGTTTTCAACTTATGATGGGTTATTGTTTATGACATAATGACATAACCCCATCATAAGTCAAGGAAGAAGCTTACAGCATACAAGGCTTTTTAATCACTCAAAATTTTATTTGGGAAAAACCAGAGATCACCCAGGAAAACAAACAAAAAAAATCACTAATAATTTAACTACTTTTAAAAGTTAATGACTCTATCCCATCATCTTTCCTCATGTGAAAACCACAACATATCCATAATATATAGATGGTACATATCCATATCCATAAATATATTTATATATATCCATAAACATATTTTTTAAAGATTTCTCTCTCTCTCTCTTTCACACACACACACACACACACACACACCCATGGGAAGAGAAGAGAATCGGAAGCCGACTCCCTGCTCAGTGTAGAGCCTGAGCGATCTCTGGACTCTGAGATCATGAACTGAGCCAAAACCAAGAGTCAGACGCTCAACTGACTGAGCCACTCAGGCATCCCAATATATGTAAATATTTTTAATGCCTACATTATCTTACTTTCTAATTTACACACACACTTGTTTAATATACAAAATGAGATTATGCTGTAAGGGTCTACCATATACTATTTTTCACTTAATGCTATCTGTTTAAATATTTTATTTCTTTATTTGAATTTATTTGGGAGGGGGGAGGACGAGCAGGGGGAGGAGCGGAGGGAGAAGCCAACTGGCAGGGAGCCCTTCCCAGGACCCTGAGATCAGGACCAGAGCCGAAAGCAAACGCTTAACCGATTGAACCACCCAGACGTCCCTACTTACTGCCAACTTAAAAGCCATTCTGTTAGTCCCTTTAAGCCCACCTTATTCCTTTTAATGGCCACATAGCATTCCATTGTGCAAAAATATCGTAATTGAATTAGCTAGTCTCCTATTAACGGGTATTTAGGTTGTTAGGGTTTTTTTGGTATTAAAATCCTATAATGAAGAATCTCTTTCCTTTTTTTAAATATTCTTATGCTACTACTTCTGCAGAAAAGATTTTTTAAAAGATTTATTTATTTTAGAAAGGGAGAGAGTGTGCTCCCTCTATAAAATTTTTGTCAATCATATGTCAATAAAACTGGAAAAAAATGTATCTTCTTCTAATATGTTTTGCAGGAGAAGCATTTATATCTGCAATTTATCTTTTTTTAAGGTTTTGAGAGAGAGAGCGCGTGTGCGCGCACCCAAGTGGCAGGGGGGGATGGGGGATGGACAGGGAGAGGGAGAAACAGGCTCCCTACTGAGCAGGGAGCCCAACACGGGGCTCGATCCCAGAACCCTGGGATCATAACTGGCTGAAGGCAGATGCTTAACCAACTGAGCTACCCAGGCACCCCTGCAATTTATCTTTTAATATACAATACAGAAGGGATCAAACTTTACTTTCTTTAAAATAGCCAATTTTTCCAATACCAACTTATTATATCCTTTCCTCTCTGATATGAAATAGCACCTTTAACATATATTAAATTTCTACATATATATTTATTCTGTTTCTGCGCCCTTTCTATGGTCTATTTGTCTATTCTCATGCAACTATCCCAAAGAGTGCCAACCCAATGTAACTTCTCCAAAGTGTCTTTGACCAATACCCTTTCCCTCTCGTTTCTTCTGCTTCCCCAAGGGCCTCCTGTATATAAAAAATGCCCAATTAGCTATCAATAGTTTCTTATTATTCTTTTGCTAATATAGCAGGATCAGTAACAATCAAAACATTGCCAAATTTACTTCCTATCTCCACCTTTTGGTAATTTTACTATTACAAGTAATAACGGTCTATAAAATATTCCAGTACCTGAAATAGCTTTTGTTTCTCTGGAACTTTATTTTCAAACTGCCTGCGTGAAGCAGTACTTATGGTCCTCTGGGCAATCTGACGAAGAGCCTGAAATGAAAAATCCATAGATGTTAGGCAGATTTAGGTCTTAAAGAAACCTTCAAAACCAACCATTTTCAATCTTTAATATTACAGAAGAGGGAAACTGACAGTTAAAACATATCCAATTTGTCAGTAAGAATCCTAAACCAGCAGCCAGGTTTTCCAATTGGTTGTCCATCCACTACTCTTTATATTAAAATTCTGCAGTCTCCAAAAACCACATTCAAGTAGCAATTCTGAGCAAAAGAAAAAAAAATCATCTTTACCTGATTGAACTAGTAGTAGCATCATATAATCCTTGAGTAAAACATTGACATACAGATATTACAAAAATAAAAGAGTGATTACAAAATACACTAAGTTCAACTATTTGCATTTAATATTCTACCATATTATTAAAAATCTATTTCTTGATACCAAAATAAAATGGCATGATTCCTACTTAATTAAAATGCTTTCCTCATTACATCTTTCCTAAAAAAACCTTTAATAGGGTATAATTCTTTTAAAAAAGAAACTTGCATTATATATCCAATTGAATTAAATAATGAAACAAACATGCACTCTATATTCCAAAATAAATGATACACTGAGAGGCTAAGTAAAACCTTACTGAATAATTACAAGAGAACGGTCACGGTTACATTTTCCTTCACTTTTTCGAAATTTTGGGAAAATATTTCACATGTTCAAAGCAGGAGGAGGGGTGAAGGACACTGACACTTGAAGAACCGCCTGATGGAAGCAACACTACACTTCTGCCATGACTGCTCCCCAAGTCCCAACCAAAAGTGAAATGACTTGCTTTTTAAACCGCATTCTGATGCTCACAAAGCTCACAAACGTTGAAACTTAAAAGTCTTTCAAAGTACCATTGGAACATCTTTCTGTCTGAAGCTTCCGGGTATCAGAAACTTCGCAGTTGGACCTTAGTTTTACTCATATCGGAGCTACCACTTCATGAATGACCTATAGGTTTAGGGGTGGCCAGTTAAGAACCCAAGGCTGCCTAACTCACCTCTGGTCACCCTCCCAGCCTCTCCACTCCCTTCATCTACCCAACACAGGGGGCGAGAGGAACAGATGGAAGGGAAAGTAACGGCAGGCGAAAAGGACACGGACCAAGGTGACTTCGGAAGTCGCCTTTTCCCACCCTTCTTCCCTCCCAGGAGAGGTGTCTCAGTCAAGGCCCCTTAGCCTCCATTCCCAACCTTCCCGCCCCACATTAAGAATACAAGCCGAGAAGTTCCTCACCAGCCGATTCCACATCTTGGCTCAGTTACTATCCACCAACCGCGACAACCGACCACCAGGAACGAAAGTCCCCGCACCGGAACCGGAACTACCTTCTGGCCTTGCGCAAGCGTCATAGACATTTCCGGGCGGAGGAGGGGCTTGAGCTTCTCTGACCATAGAGAGCGAAAGAAAGACGAGAGCGGCCGTACGGCTGTGGCCGCTCTAGCCGACTGGCCGTTTCTGTCTCTTCAGCTCGTTCCCAACCTGGCCGATGACTTTCATGCGGCTGGTCGTTGGAGCTAAGGCTGGAAGAAGCAAAGGACTTTTGAGACCAGAGAGGCGAAGAGTGACGTGTCATGTACTTTTTAACTAGCTTACATAAAATTAATGTGAGACCAGGCTACCGTAGAAAATTAGTGTATTTGGAACGAGAAAGGGTTTTTTAAAACTTAGCAAACTTTGAGCCATTGTATAGACGTTGAAAGAACACTGGGTTGGCCTGTTGTGAAGCTGCATGAAATACAAAACAAAAAGGATAACTCCTCTCACACGGATACAATCCGTTTTTTCCGCTAATGAAACTTTGTGAGGGCGTTATTGTTCCTTGTGCTGAGACTGTGCTGCAAGGAGCTGCGTCGGGATACCAATTTTTATCTTTTTGTACCTTTAGATGCTGCAGGACTCCCCACGCAAGAAACTACCAGTGTCCCGAAATTGTGGAAGCTGTTCGCTCGTTTCTCCGTGTCTGGGAAAATGCTGAAAAGAGGGGGTAAAATTTAATTGTGGGGCAAGAAATGGGACGGCAAATCTGGGCTCTTAATTGTCTTACTGTCTCAGGTCGAGCGGGGCACTTTCCTTGATTGGAGTGGGTAGGCAGAGCAATTATTGTAGATAGGCTGTGTATCTTGTATCAGTTTTGCCTAAATAATGTCACATTACAAATATCTTTATTCTCTGTGCCCACCAAGTGTGTATAAATATAAACATATTTACCCTGTACTAAAATCTTTCCACCTTTTTACAAACTCTGATTATTCCATTGTGATTTCAAATAGTGGATGATATATGGGTTCAGCATAGGTGAAATGTGTGGATAAAAATTAGTAATATCAAAATTATTCCCTCTCATCTTTTGGGTTAGATCCACCAAATTATCTGTCCCCAGTTCAGATTCTCTTCCTCACCAAGGTTTTTAAATAGCCAATTTCTCTCTCTCTTCCCTAGATAAGGACTGAAAGCATCTGGCTTAATCTCCTCCCTGTATTATGCACTGCGATCAAATCCTTGAGGACAGTTACCAGGTGCCAATAGCTGGAGCATACAAATTTTTTAAAAAAGTAGATTGTCTAGAATTTGAACTTGTTAAAGTTTTATGTGCTGTCTTACCATTTTCTCCATCTAGATTGTAAACTTCTCAAGAACAGAGATTAATTTTTTACCAATTCCCTAGTACTGCTTAAAGGGCTAAAGGTTAGCCAGCAGATGAATTAATGATATATTGGGTAATAGATCTACATATTGGATGAAGGACACTTATGGCTTTGTCCAAAAAGAACCAAAGATTCACATAATTTAGATCCTAAAATAGATGCAGATCCTTATTTGCATGTCACTTAGTACAATTTCCCCCTTTTTACTTGTTCATTCCATCAGCATAAACATATTCCCATATTAAACAAACATTTAAGTTACCATCCCATTTCTCTTCAAAATAAAACACAGATCTCTATACTTGTCTTCTCTTACTCTCCTAATCTTTTTTTAAATCCCATTTTGGGCAGGCTTTTGGTGCTTTTTCTAGGATCCCCAATGGCCTTTACATTGTTAAATAAACTGTCAATCTCAATTTTCATCTTTTCCATCTATCAGCAACATTTAACATAATTGATCACTCCTTCACAATATACTGTTTTAATTTGGAAATAAGCCATAAATGCCATTCAGTATAACATATATGTAGTTTCAAACACAGTCTTAAGGAGCTTCCTCTGTACACTACTCTTTTGATGGTTCTCCATTTCAGCAATGTTTTTAGTTTCCTGAAACCTCATCCTCTCAATCTCTAAATTACAGAGTACCGCCTTTTTTTTTTTAACATTCAGCCCTTTTGTGATTTCATCCAATGCCATGAAATACCATTTGTGTGCTGACAACTCTCCAGCCTGACCTTTTCCTTTAACCCGACATCTCCACTTAGATGTCTTAATGGACATCTCAAACCAAAACTGAATTCTACTCTCCACCCCTTATTTCCAAGGCTTCTGCTCTGCAATTTTCTTCAAGCCCAAACTCTGTTTTCCATCATACTCTATAAACTAACCCATTAGAAAATTCTGTTGAATACATACACCTTCAAAATAAAATCTGACTCTGACTGCTTCTCATGACTGCTACCCACCACTCCAGACCAACCCACCATCTCTTGCTTGCATGACTACAAAAGCGTTTTTAACCGGCTTCCCTACATGTACTTTTACACTCAAGTCTATTTTCCACACAGGGATGATCCTTTTAAAGATTTAAGTTAGATAATGACTGTTTACAACTGTTTTCTTCACTGCTGTACTTGCAGCATCTGGAATAGTAACTGGCACATAGAAAATGCTCAGTAATTATTGGTTAAATGAATGGTATGTCGCATGAAATAACTTATTGAGAATAAACACTCAAAAAATCTTGGATATTCATTGTACTACTTTCAAACAGTTTTCAGTCCCAGGATTCCTCACTCATCATCTCCTTGTGCTTATTCTGTAAATTGTGATTATCCTGACAGAAAAATATACCTGAAATTGGCCTGGGTGCCTATCAAACTTTATTGGATCTTCTCAAGCACACCTGAAATTTATTTCTAGATTTGTAAATTTATCCTCTGTAGCAGAATAGTTATTTTCAAAAGTTTCCTTTCCAAAACATCAGTTTGAGGTTTGTTTGTAATATTGGAAAATTATTACTAGATTACTAGACATGATTAGAAAGTATATCCAGAGGGTTTCTGAACATTATAACAGGACTGGCAGTACACTATTTAGGTATATGGAAAATGAGAAGTAGGTAATGGTTAATTTAAGTCTTGTCAGTAAGATAAGTATGTGTGAAAATACTAAGTGAAAATAATCACAATTACTGATGCAAAGTTACCAAATCACAGTTATTCAATCTTTCCCTTTAAAAAAACAAACAAGATTACAATCCTTACTTTGATCCTGCCTATAGCATCTATAAATAAAAAGAGGAAAGCCAGAATAGAGATTTGTGTGATTGGGATGTGGGTTTTAATTCTGAAACCATGCTTCATCCACTTCGTTTTTTGGGTTTTTTTAAGATTTTATTTTTTGACAGAGAGACAGTGAGAGAGGGAACACAAGCAGGGGGTGTGGGAGAGGGAGAAGCAGGCTTCCCGCGGAGCAGGGAGCCGATGGGAGGCTCAATCCCAGCACCCTGGGATCATGACCTGAGCCAAAGACAGACGCTTAATGACTGAGCCAACCAGGCGCCCCAATCCACTTCCAGTTTTATAAAAACAATATAGTAGAATAGCTTCATGTGAAGTTTAATGTACAAAAACTGCTAGCTACAGAAAAGATAGCACTTCAAAATAATTCCTTATTTTCTTTATTACAGTTAGGAATCAAAAAACACTTGGTTATCTCTTAATTGCTGTATTCATTATTAAATAATTTTATCTAATTGCCAAGCCTCAGTCTTTTCATCATTTAAGTTAAGGACTGGCTTTGGATTAATTATCTCTAGCTCCAAAATCCTTGTGTATGAGAAATAATATAAAATGTATTATTGAGTTCATTCCTGTCGAACAATAATTTATTGGCTACCTAATATGATTCCAACACTTTGCAATATGTTCAGGGAAAAACTTTTAAAATTCCAAACCTTCTGGAGCATATAATCTAATTAGGAAGGTAATAAACACATAATAGTAAGTTATGATGTGTATACAAATGAGTCTTAGGTAACTGGTTTAGCAAAAGTTGCTCATGGGAAATTCAAGGAAGATAGCAGTCATTAGGAAAGTTTGGAAAGACTAAATTTCAGCAGTCTTGTAGAATTAGAATAAATGAAGTAGTGAGTTTTAGCAGGGTCCAACAGAATAAATGGAGTAGAGATTAAAAGGCATTCTAGACTTAGAGCAAGAACATGATTAATAACCTGGATTTAGAATCAAGCATGATCAACTGCAGGAACTTTAAAACAGATGGCTAGGTGTAGTGAAAAGAAAAAATATTGTAGTTAATAACTTGAAGTCAGACAGATCCTGAATCTGTCACTTAATAGTGATTATGATTGAAGGCAAGTTTCATAATCTATACTTCAGTTTATCTGTAAAATGGATAATAGTATCTATCATCACTGGATGGCTGTGAAGATTAAATGATATAATTCAATAAACGTTAACTTTTTAAAGATTTTATTTATTTGAGAGAGAGAAAGAGCACACATGGTCGGGGGCAGGGAGAGGGACAAGCAGACTCCACGTGGAGATCACCACCTGAGCCGAAATCAAGAGTCCACCACTTAACCTACTGAGCCACTCAGGTGGTCCTATAAATGTTAACATTTATTATGGAAGAAAAAGTTGGGTAAAGAGACCAACAAAATCCAGGCAGAGGGACAGCCTAGACAGAGGCTAAGACGAGAAGGTGAACAGATGTCTTCCGGGACTGCGAATACTATGGTAGCAGAAAGACAAATGAGGGGCTGAGGGAACAGTGGAAGAAGGTAGGGTGAAATTTTAATAATGATTTTAAATTTTATCCTGAAGGTGAATGAGGGCCATTTAAATTTATGGGGGGACGCCTGGGTGGCTCAGTAGGTTTAGCATCTGCCTTCAGCTCAAGTCATAATCCCAGGGTCCTGGGATCGAATCCCGCATCAGCCTCCTTGCTCAGCAGGGAGCCTGCTTCTCCCTCTGCCTGCTGCTCTCCCTGCTTGTGCTCGCTCGCTCTGGCAAATAAAAAAAAACTTTAAAAAATAAAAAAATAGAAGTTTATGGGATGAATTGTCCAAATCAGAACTCTATTTCAAGATCATTCTGGTAGTAGTGAAAGGCTAGATTGAACATAAATTACAAGGGTCTGAAAGCCCATTAGAAGGCTCTAATAATAATACAAGGAAGAAAGAAAATCTGAAAT